AATCCCGTGTCAATAAAATTTATTTGTGGAGAGAGCGCGGAAGCCGAACTTGATAATCCCCGGGTGAAGTTGCGAATCGAAGCTTGTATCATATTACGCTGTTTAGCAACATCATCAAAAACGCTGAGCATGGCAGGTCTCATAATTTCAGTTTCCGCAATCACGAGCGCGTGGCAGGGCTATGGGATTCTCACCATTCCAGTTTTCCCAAGTCACGGACGCGCGGCAAGGACATGGGATTGACACTGTCTCACCCGTTCCCGAATTAAGAACGCGTGGCAGGGCCATGGGGACCGATTGGATTTTGAAGTCACATGCGTTTTTCGAGCAGTTATCGCATCCCTCACACGGTTCGTGGCCCCTCCTCGTCCTCCTCCTCGTCCTCGTCCTCCTCTTCCTCCTCCTCCTCCCCCGCAACTGCCCAGGCCCGAGCTTCCCCGAGCCTCCGAGACTCCAGGCTTTCGAGCCTCTTCGAAGCACCGAGTTGCACCTCCCCCAGGGGCAACGATAGGGGGGGGGGGGAGAAGGCATGAGGGGATGCATCGATCCCCAATCGCCCATTGATCGCAGAGAGTGGTTCGATAGCCCGAACCTGCCCAGGAACGCGTGGATTCACGATCGGGCGTCTATCGCCGATGCATCGGCGATGTATCGCCGATTGCAGGTCGATGTTTCCCCTCCCAATGCCTATTCCCCCCGCGTCGTTGCCCCTGAGTGCGTCGCGAGCCTCAGCCATGTCTCATGCCGCCGAGCGCGCCCAGTCGGCGACCCAGCAGGTCGCGGCCCCGCAGGGGGTCGCGACCCAGGAGCGCGAGCCCGAGCCCGAACGAGATTCTCGAGCGCATGGCCAAGCAGAGCGAGAATATCCTCGACAAGCTGTCCTTCATCGCGGACAAGATCGTTATTGCCGAGATGCGCCAATGCCAATCGAGCGCGCAAGGCACTGATGACGGCCTGCTTTTTCAAGGCGGACAGCGCCTCGTGGTCGGTGAGCGCCCAGCAAGCCGTCCTCGAGATGGTCTAAAAGGGGGCCCCCTCAAGAGCATCGAGCACGGGCGCATCTTCAACGAGAAGGACAAGAGGCACGTCGAGCTGGCGGTGGCGTTTTCTACAAGACCTACTGCGAGAAAAACGGCCGCCTCCACGACATCTTCGAGAATCGCGGAGAGCCGCCCGAAAACCTCTGCTGGCAAGTCGAAGATGCTCGAGCTTGCCAAGAAGAAGGACATCGAGCTCGGCACCGAGAGCGCCCAGCGCCTCAGCTTCGGCCCCTGCGCCTAGCGCGTCGGCAAGGCCCTCCCCGATATCACCTCCGAGCTCCTCCACCTCCACGACCTCGTACTGCCGATCAACAAACGCTTCGAGCCCGTCGGGGAGATGCCCGAGGAGTTCCCCCCCGGCGCGCCAGCCGATCAGCTCTTCGGGATGACCCCCCACAAGGCCAAGCAGATCGCCGACTGGTGCCGCGACAACGGCGCGGTGAAGGGCGTTGACCACGCGCGAGCCACCACGCAAGCAGTCGTCCAGTGGCGCTGGAGCCCCAAGCGCACTGCCGACGTGGCCCGCGAGCTCAAGGAGCGGAACTACCAGGACAAGCGCTCTAAGCATGACTACGCAAGCACCGAAAGGCAGCTCAGCTTCGAGACGATGGCTCTCAACCAGCACGCCAAGATGGATTCCGAGAAAGTTCGCCAAGATCCACGCCGACAATGACAAGATGACCAACCAGCGCGAGCCCGTGGAGAGCCATGCCGACGCGAAGGCCGGGCCAGAGGCCGTCAAGTCGACGCTGAAGGACGCCTGAGACCCGAGCGGCGGAAAGCGGCGAACGCCTGGCGCACGAGCGCCCCGAGCCAAGCGCCCCCATGCTTTTCGCTACGAGGGTGCCGCGCGCGCGTCTCGAGTCACGCGCTCGAGCCCCATCTGCTTTCAAGCTCCAAGCGAGTGGCGTTCCAAGCTGCGGGGTGATACTCCCCCCCCTCTCGCAAAGCGATCCTCGATCAGGCATCAGGCAATCAAGCGGGCTCGATCCTCCATCCTCGGATCCGAGCATCTTCGAGCACCTTGGATCCTAGATCCGATGATCGCCACGCGTGGACTCGAAGATCCCAGATTCGCGATGCGAGCATCGAGGTTCGAGCCTCGGCGATCGTCGATCGCCCCCGTCGCCGTCGCCAGGCCCAGGCCGCCATCGAGCAGGCTCGACCCTCGATCCCCAGATCGAGGACCCAAGATCCTGGTTCTGAGCAGCTTTGAGCACCTTGGATCCTAGATCCGAGGATCGCCACGCTTAGACTCGAAGATCTCGGGTTCGACATCCGAGGATCGAGGATCGAGCCTCGGCGATCGTCGATCTCCCTCGTCGCCGTCCTCGGGCCCAGCCTGCCATCAGGCTCGATCCTTCATCCTCGGATCGAGGGTCCAAGATCTTGGTCGCGAGCATCTGCGAGCACCTTGGCTCCTAGATCCGAGGATCACCACGCGTGGACTCGAAGATCTC